GTCAGTCACTCTGGGCATTTACGGTCAGGATCATCTCCTTGTAGATGGAGAGGAGCCAAACATCAGGCATCCTGCCACCAATCTCAGTGCTTTCTGCCCTACTGCAGGCCATTTCCTCTCGGAATCAAAGGGAGAGATTGAGTGAGATGAAACTGTGTGGCACAGCTCTTAGTGTTGTTGCAGGTGTGGGGCAACGCAGTGGAGGAGAGATGACCCAAGTGACAGAGTAGGAAATGTAGGAGCCATGCAGAGTTAGTGGTTTTGGGGATTGGGAGGATGAGAGAGAGTGGAGGAAGATGTTGCATATGACAGTGAGAGCATTAGAGCATAAGCCTTGGTGGGAGGTACGTGCAGTAGCAGCCAGAGTGTGATTGTGAGGTAGAAAACGATGGTTCTTACACTGTCAGAGCGAAGAAGGTCACTGACCTCCCTGGGGATGGCTGCATGTTCGTCCAGATAGCTGGTATGGCATTGAACTGGGTAGCAATCTCGACCAGGCTGACAGAGTCTGGTCTTGTGGTCTCCTTTGCTGGTCCTGGGGGAAGAAGGCAGCCCTCCTCTGCAGCACCATTCACCAGACCCTTGAATTCCCTGTCCACAAAGTTGGAGGGTTAATTTCCCCCTGCCTACATGTCCTGGGGACATGTTACTGACTGTGCAGGGCAGCTCCAGACTATCAGCCCTTGACCAGGTACAGAACAGCCTTTTATAATGGCCCTTGCACCAGGAATCCCAGCATGTCCTGGCAATGGCAAGTACTTCAACCAGCAGTAAGGAGGAACAAAAACAGAAGTTGCTGGAAAAACTCAGCAGGTCTGGCAGTATCTGTGAAGAGAAATCAGAGTTAATGTTTTGGGTCCGGTGACCCTTCCTCAGAGCTGAAGCTCATTTCCGAGGAAGGGTCACCGGACCCGAAACGTTAACTCTGATTTTTCTTCACAGATACTGCCAGACCTGCTGAGCTTTTCCAGCAACTTTTGCTTTTGTTTCTGATTTACAGCATCCGCAGTTCTTTCGGATTTTAACAGTAAGGAGGATATTTGGACTAGCATGGATGGGGGCATGGCATCGAATTAATGAGGTGGCTCTTTAGCAACAGCACAAGAAAATTCATTATGCCTTGCTGAGAGAAACCCTCTATGAATCTTAATGAAAATAATACTGATTTCTGGTGAGATTCAACCTAAAATTTATATCTCGAGACTGAAATGACTTTTCTTCATAAATGGAAAGAAATATCAGTTTTTTAATCTTGGATGCACATTATCAATGGAAAGTCATGCTGTTCTGAATGAAAAATGCAACAGCAACTTTCCAATGATTAACCAACAAGCTTATTGAAGTGTAATGCAATCTCATGTATGTATTGATGATTTGGTTGTGTGCATCTGAACCTGGGAGAAATATTCTCAACATTTGAACAAATTCTTTATAAAGGGCTAAATATTCCCAGCTGCTGAATGGTCTGGGCAATGGGAAAATTTGGTGAGATCAGAAAAATGGGATTCTCGACTTCAAGAAAAAATGTTCAATTTTCCGGCCCTGCACGAGGACAGCACCATACCATCACGCAGCTGACTTCATTAGTAGAAAAGGGTGCCATTCAGTGAATGTACAGGTCATCTGTGATCATCAGAACCACATCTTAGAAGCCTGTGCCAGAAGCCCTGTGCCAGAAACCCTCTGCCAGGAACCCTGTAAGCTGCCACAATGCCTACATCCTTGCAAACTCTCACATGCCTGCTTCATTTCAAGGCCAATGCCTTACAAAGATGGTTACTGGAGAGAAGGTCTGCAACCATGGCTGATGAATCGGTTACACAACTCCTAACTGAGACCCAGGTACATACAATGCAGAGATAGTGGGAACTGCCAATGCTGGAGAATCTGAGATAACACAGTGTGGAGCTGAATGAACACAGCAGGCCAAGCAGCATCAGAGGAGCAGGGAAGCTGAAGTTTCGGGTCTGGACCCTTCTTCAGAAATCTGAAGAAGGG